CCCCCCCCCCACCAGTGTGGGGCTTATCATGTGAGCAGGGCTGGCATGTCCAGTGCCTTCAGTCTGTCCTGACTGGTGGGAACAGCATGTGGCTCCCAGCAGTTTCCTTGGGTGGTGGGATATGGCATGCAAGCAGCCAGCCAGGGGCCCCCCAGGGAGGTGCTGGCACAGCTGGTGGCCAGTGGTGACATGGCTGCCTGCACCTCGCAGCTGGGGCTAAAGCTGCAGAGCTGTGGCGCAGGCACTGGTCCAGACTCCCCAACCTGCTGGTAGAAGCTGGGGGCAGGGATCTCAGTAGGACCCCAAGAGACCCTCCTCCAGTGACACATCACTGCCAGGCTGGAGTGGGAGCTTGGGCAGGCCTCCTATGCTGCTGTACACAGCATGGCTGTGGCCTGGATCCCAGGTTACAAGGAGCTCAGTTAGCTGCTGCATAAAGGGCATGGACTTGCAGGTACTCTGCAACTGACAATTGTGGTCGGTGATGGTGACCCATTGTGCCCGCAAGGCCTTGACCTTTATGTGTCACTGCCATGCTGACCGGTTGTACCTGCACTTCCACATCCAGCCTGACAGTCCTCATGGATGTGGGTGTTCAAGTGCCTGCCCTGCGCAAACTGCTGCTGCACCTCTCCCTCACCCCACAGGGCCATGAGTTTGCCAGTCTCTTCCTGCAACCAGTTGGGGCCCCAGGTGGTGGCAAATGGCATCAGTGATGAAGCCATTAGGGCTCCCACACTAGCTCTCAGGGCCTCTGCACAGCTGTTCCTGTGCTGCCAGGCTTGGGCAGCTGCCTGCACCCAGTGCAGGGATATGGTTCAGGACTAGGAGCTATGCAGTGAGGCAATGCCCCACAGCACCTGCAGGCTCCAGGAAGGCTGCTGGGGCCTGGCTGTGGGCAGCTGGTGCTGGCCCTGGCAGCCAGGAGCTAGCTGAAGCTGGGCCTGGGTGCTGGCAGTGGCAGTAGCCTACAGCATCCTGCAGGGCTGGATGGTATGGGCCTGGCAGCCAAGCAGCACTATGGTGCCAGGCAGCAGTGTCAGGGTGCAGGCAGGCTGGCACAGGTAGCCCAAGGCCTGTGCAGGAGCAGCAGAGTCCAAAAGTCCCATTCCCCTCCCCCGCCCCACCCCAGGCTCTCTGCTGTTGTGTCCAAGGACCCAAAATGCCTGCAGACTTTTAAAGGGTCTGTGGCTGGGCCTGCCACAGAGGCAGCCCAGCCCTGAACCAGGAGAGGCTCTCAGCCCTTTGGGCTCTGGGGCTGAGTTCAGACTGGCCCCCTAGTGGCAGGGCTGACCATGAGAAAATCTGCTCCTGTTTGGTGTCTACATGAGCGTTACTGCGCTGCAAGTACTCATGGATAAATTTGCTACTTGCATTGGCTGCCACTTGCATTGGCTGCCTTCATGAGTAGTGAAGTTTACAGTGGAGTAAGTGTGTGCACATATAGCCTTTCATGCTCACTGTGCAGTAAACTACACTACTTTGCAGTAAAGCGTCTCGTATAGACACACTCACTGAAATGATTTAATGAAATGAAGCTACTCTCTTCTCTACACTGAAATGAATAGGGTTAATTCACTTCTCTGAGACATGATTTCAGGCTGTCCACAGACTCAGACAGATATCACTGTATAGTTTAACATTTAGAAAGTTATTGTCATGGCCTTACAGGCTTCAATTTTCTATTTTTAAAAAAGAAAAGCCTAGAATCCATGTCAGGACAAGGGGTCAGCTTAGAACTTGCAGCGAAGTTCATAATCACACAATAATGGAAATGTTGAGCTCTGATTATTTCTAGTAATTATGAGGCAAAAAATGTACACCTCAGAACAGGGACAAAATAGGTAAAATCTTTTGGCCATAAGGGTAGAAGATGCTGAACTTACTGCCACTGTTTCTTCCAGATTAACTAAAACCAAAGAACATTTGTACACGTGCTCCGAGAGTGGAGGTAGGGCACTTTAATTAGAGTGGCTCCAAGAGCCACTGTAATTAAAGTGCACTGAACATCTCATGTATCAGTGTCCCTGTGCTTCCAAAACGCAGCGGAGGTGCTTTATCTAAAGTTTGTGGTAATTACCACACTCCAGCATACTCAACTAATCAAGTCTCCTCCAACATGCTATAATTACAGCGTGTCAGATCAGCATCCTGGCTTGTATACAGGCACCCAAAGATTTTAGCATGCTAATCAGTCTTGCCTCACTAGCTAAGTCTGTCGAGCCCAACTATGACTGTTTTGGCTTATTCATATTCTGATAAAAATGATAGAAGGAAGAAGACCATGAGAAGCATGGGCTGCTCCTTAATATAATCAAGGTTTTTAATGGACTTTATACTAATGTTTTACCTACACTAACATTTTTAAAATAAACTATCACCCTGTGAAAACTGAAGATGTTAATAGAACCTGAATGTGTTCTTCAAAAGGATTAGATATGTTTAGATAGCAGTGCTCTCCCAATCCTGGCAAAAGGCACAATTCCATTAGAATGATAAGGAAAGGCAGAAAGTCCACAGTGCATATATGTGTGATGCAAAAACAAGCAAGGGGCATGTTTGCTTCTTGCTATCTTTCTCCTGAAAGGCTGTATGTTAGAGATAGCAGCACACCCTGAAGCATCATAGTGCAGTTGGAAAACAGGATGACAAAACATGCTTAAACCAAGTTTTAAATATATAAGGTGTTACCACCAGACATAAGGGAGGGTGTTCAACAGTACCAGAGGAAGGTGGCCATCCAGCTCCCAGTGAAAGTCAATTTGAAAATCCCACCAATATTTATTGTTGGCCCTGCTGGCTATAGCATCACACTGCAGGCTCATGTTCATACTGTGGTTAATTATTACTCCCAGGTCTTGGTGGCAAGTGATGAGGGATCTTCAGTCCTGCTGCCTGATGAGAGACAGCAGTTGCACAAGCACCCATGTCACGAGTGTTGCCTGTCAGCAGCTAGAGGTGCAGGGCCCCAGAACTCCCCTGCACCTATCTCCTTGACAGCTGGCAGGCTTTGTGTCCTCAGCAGGGGCTAGCATGCCTGCAGTTTTCACCCTACTACACCTTAACACACACACAGTCACCCATGTCACAAGTTTTGCTTGTCTGCAGCTTGAGGTGCAGTTTCCCCCAAGCCCCTGCACCTATCTCCTTGAAACTTGGCAGGATTTGTGGCCTCAGCAGGGGCTACGACCCCTGCAGTTTTCACCCCACTGTGGCTTAACAAATACACATGACACAAATTTTGCTCTCAAGACTTTGGGGTGCAAGATCTTTGAACCTCCTGTACCTATCTTCCTGAAACTTGGCACACTTCATGCCTTCAGAAGTGGCTACTATTTCTGCATGTTTCATCCATATTTGCCCAGAAGTGACAAAGTTATAGGCTGTTTCAACCTTCCCCATTATAGCCTATAGGCAAAATGTCGAAACAGCGTGAAAATGGTGAAACGTTTCGACTTTTCTCATTTTGTTTCAAGGTTGTTTTGACCATAGCTGTTGTTTTGATTTCGCTTTTTCGACCTCGAAATGGGTCACAACAGTGGCAAAACAAAACCGAAGGCAAAATTTTGCACAGCCCTACTTGAAAGCAAGTGTCTCTTACTAATTCAGTGTGATGACTTCTGCCCTGCTCCAGCAATATCCTATCATTTCCATTCAGAAGAGAGAAAACCTGTATGCCAGGGACTTCACAAAACTGACCAACCTCCTATGCATTGCCCTTCACCTTTGCATGTTGTTTTGGAATAACCTGTTGCAAACTGAATGCGCTCCACCAGGTTTTCCCAAAGATAAGTAATTTGCTAAAGATTTAACAATGATGGAAAGGCTGCTTTTTCTGACACAAGCCAACAGAGAATACAGAGCAGCCTAACATAAATTTTCAGAATACATACTGACATGGCATAGTTCATGAATTAGATAATTTATGACAGAAACATCACTGTTAATCTACTTCACTGCTTTTTTAACTGTGACGACCACAAGCAATAGTTCAGCTCACTCCACACAATACATTTTTGGGGTTTTTTGCTTGGATTTGTAAAGCATAACTCAAGTAAAAGTTTTTAGCTCAGGACTTGTAATTACTTAATCCAGTAAAAATAGATTTTCTATTTACTAGTTAGTTGCCAGTCACTGAAAATCTTTTGACCTATTCTAATGACATCTGTAAAAGCTTCAGGTACAGTTTTCCAGAAAATGAGAAATAAAGTCTTCAGCTTCAACTTTAACTCTCAATAAAGCTGATGAGACTTTAGTTGCAGTCTCTTTCATCTTCTTATCACAAATTAATTTATTCTGAATTAAAAATATTTCAAGCAGAAGAGCACTAGAAACAGAAGATCAGTGACCATTAGAACACGAACTAACAGTTTTTAATCTTCTAAAACTTGTTGAGCACCGTCACTAGTTCAGCCGTGAGCAGTCTGCATGCATTGTTGGATTATACTAGAGGAATCCCACAGGTTCACATACAGCTGCAGTAAATATACACCGGCTTTTGAAAAGCACACTCAGCCAGTACACCACCAGTGTAATTCTGGTAAATAAGGGGGTTCTATCAGGATACATTTGACCTGTTGTATTTACCCAGTGTATTAAACTAAATTTTCAAAACCAACAGACATTTCAAATCTTGCTAGAAGTTTCCTGTACAAAAGAGAGTTTTCAGAAGAGGAAAATGAAACAAAACACCCTCCTAAATAAGCAGTTGCTTCCTTAGTCAGTGCTTTTAATTCATCTCAGATCTATCAGAGAAAAAGTACATTGCCAGAAATATTCTTTTTACTGAGATCATATAACTCAAAACAAAAATAAAACAGAGGTAGTACCTCCATCAAATGTACATTTCTTCTGCTTACATGTATGGGAATGAAGTAGTGAACTGCAGTATCACCATCAAATGAAACCTTCACTATCAAAAGCCCACTGAAGTGATAACTGTGTCTGCTACAGATCTGCTAACAGAGTCAAAAGAGTAACAGAGAACAATGCACTCTTACCATTTGTAACGTAGGTGCTGAATGCAGCTAGGAAGAGAAGGGCAACTTCAAGCAGCTTCATGCTTGTGCTGGGTTTCATTGGCATCCCTTTTCAGAGCCAGGCAGTGAATAGTCTCTTACTCTGAAGCAGGCCCTAATTAGTAAGTGGAAAAGGTGTGCAGAGGCTGTAAAGACACTGCCCATTTCTGCTTATTTAGGGGACTTTGATAAAGAACGAGAGGAAACACAACACACTCCCTCTGGGAGTTCAGTATAGAGGAGATTAATTGTTTCAGTCCTTACAGGAACTCCTTTTTCTTTGGCAGTCAACCGTGTTTTTGTTAATACTTTATTTTGTTCTTCTTTGACACAGAAGTCAAGAAAGGTCTTGAGCTGAGGCCTTTCTTTAGAATACAGCGTACATCACCAACTCTTTAAATATATTATGGATATTTTTAAATAGGGTGTTTATTAATAGTGACAAAGTCTAGATAATGGGAATCTTACAACAGGGTATGAAAAGGAAAAAGTAAATAAGACAGATCACAATTATTAACTGTTTTATGGAAGCACTTAAATGTTCCAGTTGAGAGCAGGACCATAGTATTCTAGGGGGTTGCAAAAGCACGTTATCAGAAAAAAACCCGACCTAAAAGAGCAGAAAATCTGGATAGGATGGACAAAGAGCTGCACAGCAAATGAGCAGAGAGGGGGAAATGACTTGCCTCAGGTCACATAACAGATAAATGACAACTAGTAACAGGACCAGTGTCAAAAGCCTACCCACCCCTCACCCTGACAAGTAGATCACACGGCCTCTAAACCTTTGATTTCTTAAAACATCATAAGGGGGTCCAATCTCATGTGATTTTAAAAAGAAAGGGAATTAAGGTATATTTTTAATTCAACAGAATCCACAACTCACTGAATAAGAGCAACATGTTAAGGCAAGAACCTTGAATTATCGTGATCCAAATGCCATGGCAAAAAATGAATCAGAATCCACAGTGATCAGTAGGGGTGTGTGAAATGGACCATATTCGATTTGGATTTGGCCCGAATTGGGAACAGTGATTCGATTAGTTGATTTGGATCACTGTCCCCAATTTGATTTGGTCAAATCCAAATCTGAAGAGTCTATGCTTATTTGGAGAATCAGCAATTTGGCCATAGACACTACTTTAAATGTTTTTTTCTACATACCTCAAGGTACCAGGCATGGATCATGAATGCTGCAATGGTGGGACAGATGAAGTGTCCCACAGGAGCACGGGAGGCCCTCCCCCCATGTGCTTGGCAGCAAACCCAGAAGTGGACTGGAAGTACTTCAGGTCCACTTCTGGGTCCGCCGCGCTCCCACGGGAAGTTCCAAGCGCCCCAGTATCTCAGCATTCACAAGCTGCCTGGTACCTTGAGGTATGTAGAAAAACCATTTAAAGCTGTGTCTACATCTAAATCATTAAATCTCTCTGAATCTATTTGGAGGGTTTCGATTCAATTCAGAGAGATTAAAACGTCTCCTGATTCAATTCAGATTTGGAGATTTGGCTGCCGAATCAGGCTGAATCTCTACCAGATCAAATCAGCAACTGAAGCTTTTCACAGCCCTAGTGAGCAGCAGGTGGCACAGTGCTAGTTTGCTGTCAGCAAAGGACCCAGAGAGGAATGGCTGTATCATGGTCATAGAACACCCTTTTCCCAACCTTATGTCTATGCTTCAGTGTAAGAAGCTCTATGAAATGACATCTGAGTAAATTATAATCTGCATTTGATTTTGAATAGGGCCACTAAAACAGTCAGGCAACTAGATGGAGAGGGATTTAGATGGCTTGTGAGGATTTTTCATCTGGAGAGAATTGCTAACTCCCATTGTATAGAGGCAGACAATCAATTCCTGGTCAGTTATTACTTTTTGTTTGTGCAGCTTAAGAAACGATTTTTTTTTGAAGTTCTCTTAAAAGGTCTCTCTTTCATCTAAAACTTTTGAAAGTTCTTAACGAACTCTAACTGTTCAGTTCAGAAGCTAGGCCATATATTCTTCTTCAGCTGAATATGTATTTATAATTCTGACTCAATGTAACTTTTATGAGCACATATCCCTCAAAGTGTTACTCTCAGCCAGGCCTTCTAACCAGCCAGAATAAAAGTCACTGGCCAGATTAAACTGAGAAATATTAGTGTCCCTCTCACATAAACATTTCTCTTGGGTAACACTGGTAGTGCTCTCAAATGAAACGCTGTGAAAATGGGTTCTTGTAATGTTCCTGCATTAGTCCTGTATTACTTCATTCAGCTGACAATAATTAAATACAACCCTTTAAATACAGTGGGAGAAAGATATAGTACTTTTCACTCCTCTCTCTTTTTCTGTAATGAAACTATGAGGAATAACTGACCTAACACATTGCCTGTTCCATTAAACAATCAGCACTTCATACTATAATAGCTGGGTAACTTTATCATGCACATTCCTCTCTCTAAAGGGAAGTAGCTCTTCAAAATAGTTTTATGGTCAGGAACTCCCAGGAGTTAACCACAATTCTTGCAGCAAGATTGCTGATCTATGAGTATTATATGAAAACAGTGACAGATCTAGGAGACGATTTTTTCTTTCCCTCCCACCCATCCATTCCATCAGTAGCGAAACATTTCTACTTAAAAATAATTCTAGTCTAATTGCAACCAAAACCTTTTGAATGTGGACCAGTGACACTTTGTCTGAATCCACAGAGGGAGTGCTCAGTACTCAAATGATGCTGGGTTGGTGGAGCTCTGTGTAAGACTATGAAGACTATGTTACTTCATCTGTGTCTGACAGCATAAAACAGTAAATGTAAGAAAGGTGTCAATTCCCCAGTTCATCTTAATGGGTTGCTAACCCTGAAGAATGACCCAAGAGGGCAATTTAAAATTTATTTTATATCGTAGGGTGTTGAGTGAGGTTCAGAAGTTTCTTCAGAAACCAAGAGACTGAGAACAGGAACACAGCTTTAGGAACTGTAACAATTCAGAGAAACTATTTATTATCCTCATTTAAAAATATGGGATCTTCCGGCTCTGTTAACTCATCTGATTAATAGTATCCCAGGAGTCAAGAAGAACCACAAGAGGAAAAGACCAGATGACTGCATGCTGTTGGACAAGCATAGTGATTAAGCAGACAGTGATTAAGTGGAAGAAAACAGATCAAACAGGTCACCACCCCCAAAATGGTGGCCAAATCTACATTACAATAATTCACAGGGTCTCCTCAAGAAGCAGAAGATAAAGAACTTCAAATTAAAGATAACAAGCTTCCCCAAACGTTGCAGGCAAAGTTTATTTTTGTATGTCACTGCATTTTTCTGCTTCTTGTTTTAACCCTGCTAGCAAATAAGTTCTCCTTTATTAAATGAACTATTTTCCATTGATCTAAAAACAAGAAATTTAGCTTTGGTGCCAGTATGTGCCTTGTTTTGGAATGGGAAATTTTGTTATCTGCAATGCTGCCAATTCTAGTGATTTTATTGTCAGTCCTGTGATGATCTCCAGTGTTTCATGTAAAGCCCTGACTCTTGGAAACAAATGCCTATATGACAATGCATGTTTTTATTTAAAAACAAGTTTCTAGCCCTCACTGTTGCAGGGGGTAGTTTGAAAATGTGACTCAAGAGCAGCTGAGAAGCAGAACATTACAAGGCAAAGATCAAGAGCCTCACATTTTTAATCTCATGATTTTTGCTCCAAACTGATGATTTTTTGAGAGTAAGAGTTTAAATTTGTGTATATTTCTGGTTGACACACTTTTATTAAAAACAGAGCTGTTTATCACCACAAGAGATTTTCACTTACCAAGTTCCAACCAATATTTATCTTATATTGAATTGATATATTTTACTTATCACTTTATTCTTAGGTTTACGTTACTTGAAGCAAAACAAGGACAAGTAAGAAATTCAAATGATTCCCTTCAGCTATCAAAGAGCACAAAAGCTTAACCCCTGATTCAGTGCTTTTCAAGTTGCATGCACTGCCATGTCCAACAATTAATTTGCTTGCAGCGATAGCCAGCAAGCATCACAAAGTGGCACTTCTATTACTGGCATCGAAGTAGGGCAGAATTTGTCAAAATCATTGCAAAAGCAAAATAAAAATGTATGTCTTCAGTGACCCATATTTTTAAGTGAAAAACAGTGACAAAATGTACCATCAGTCCCTGTACAGCAATAGTGTAGATGTTTGCTATCTCTTCCACTTATGTACATTTTACTCACTCTATGACAGATTTGGAACCTGCAATAAATAGAGTCCAGGAATGTTTTATTGTTTTGTTGCCTGTGTATTTCAGCTAATGTAACTACACTCTACTTGCACGGTAAGTCATCTAGTAGAGCTGCCAGAATTTTTTTTTTTTGATGAAACCATTTTCTGTTAAAAAGGCAGTGAAAATATTATATGGAAAATTGTTGATTTTAACAAAGATTTTTCAATCGGAAAGATTTAAAAATGTTTTGTTACAACAGCATTAAAGTGCTTGCTTTCAATAATATTGTTTCAGAACTTCCTTTGGAATGGAAATTCCACTTCCCAACTAGCTTTGCTTGTCATAGAAACCTGCTAAGTATCAGGGATCATATTTTTCAATGTATATAGATGTCTAAATATTAGGCCTGTGTGAAGCAGCTAGTATTCGCTTCAGGTTTGGATTCGGCCGAATCGGGGGACAATGATTTGATTTGGTGATTCGAATTACTGTCCTGATTCGATTTGGCCGAATCTGATTTGGAGATTTGGCAGCAGCAGAATCTCTGAATCGGCCAGGCTAAGCCCATCTCCCAGCCCAGCAATGGCTACCCTGCCCACCCCAGCTCCCGGCTCTTGGGGGGAAAAAAGCCCCGGATCAGCAGGTACTGCCAGGCGGGGGGCAATCCCATCTGCCCCCCACTGCCCCACGCTGTGTGTGTGGGGGCTCTGCAACAGCCCCTGAAACCCCCCACTCCCCCAGCCCCCTCATGGGTGCCCCGCATGGGCAAGCTCCGGCTCTTTAAGAAGAAAAAAAAACCTGAAGAAACCCCCGGACTCACCGCTCCTGCCGGCGGGGGGGATCCCCCCCG